TATGATTTTTTTTTCATATCTTATAACATACTATCCTCCGTATCACATTATTTACAACATTGGAATACATTATTCATATACTTTACTTTGACTACATTTTATTTATTAATGTATGTGAATTATTTTTGAAAAATATTGTTAAATCCATCTCATTATTAAGTCTTATAATCTGATTTTTATTTTATTTTTACTAATACAGAATTAAATATAATGACGGTCAAAGTTGTACGCTGGCAAACGTGAAATGTTGACTGTTGCAACTAAAAAGAGACGGAGGAAGTATAATTTAAATATCATTATTTCCTAATATAGCAGTTTCAGTCGCTTGAGCCATTATCACATAGTTTGGCTTGATGTGATTTGATCTAAGACTAAAATCAGCCCAACAACAAAGTCCTTAAAGTTACACAAATAAATTGGTAATTGTATTAAATTAATATAGAAACAAAGCTAACGAATATATTTTAAATAAAAATCCAAATAAAATAATGCGAAGTAATTGGATTGAAATTTTCAAATGTAGGCTTTTTAAATTTGATTTCTCATATGCATGCCCATTATTTTTAGTTGATAGAGAACATTAACTTTATAAAATTTTAGTGCCCGTTTAGTGACTCTGTTTTCGGCTTATCAGACTTATCAACCAACTTTTTAACCAAACATGTAACTTTTGATTTTACGCGCTGAATTATGTAATAATAAGAAAAATAAGGTTGAAGTTACTTTTCAGGCTGTATTGACTGCAATTGTTGTAGATGACCATTTTATCTATTTTTCATATCATTTCTTCTTTATTTTATTAATATAATATATTTTAAATATAATTTTTCATAATCAGCAGAAACAGTCGATACAACCACTTCAGTCAGAACTTCATAAATTTCAGCAGAATCAGCCGATTCAGCCGATTTCAGTGTTACCAAACGGGCTCTAGTTGATAGTAGACATTTCTTTAAAATTGTTGTATACGTTATGTTAACTACGATATGTTATGCTATTTTACTATTTTACTTCTTCTTTTTATTAATTTTTTATTAATTAGTTACATTACAGTAGGGACCCCGTGATTCTGAGTTTCTGGGACTGCCACTGACGGTATGTGATTGCATTTGTGAACTAACGGACAAAAATGGAACAATATATACGCACGGATTGTACTCTTAATAAGTTAAAAAAATAATACAGGTCCCCATTATAAAAATTACATATAGAATTCCAATTATGTTATTAAATTAGGCGGGAATTTTACTTCCAAAACAGTGCAAACACTCTTACTTTATATTATACAAAAATTTGTGACATCCCCTTCTTTTGCGTGTTTAGTAGAAAGCCCATCCCCATTCGGATCTACTATATATTTCATGTTGCTTACACATGCAATTTAGTACATATCTTGAAATGTATCAAAATAGAACATGGGTGGGTTGTCTTATTTTTATTATTATTGGTCTAACAAATCTGATTCTCTATAATGCCGAGCTGTTGATTAGACAACTTTTAGCTGAATCGCGTGATAACAGTGATGTTTCCATTGTTATGAAACATTGACTAAAACTCGGTGTGGAGGTTATGGCTTTTGCGTGCTGTACTGGACCTCTAGTGTACTCGGATATAAAGCCTACATCATTGGGTCGATCGAGTCAATATGGATTGGGGTCTTGGGTTTGGGGATTCAACCCGATGGAACATAAGGAAAAAGTCCAAAAAAATCTTTTAAAAGAAGGTACTAATAATCACACAAGCAGGAAGAGTTAACGTCTTCTCTAGTTACTATTTACCAAAGCCATCTTTTAATCTCCTTTTCTAATACAAATGATGGGTAGTTAACAGTAATTGAGAAATTAAGAATAGCAATCATAAACTCCCAAGATGGGCAAGACGAGAAGACGACCATCCATATTCTACACATTAAAATATAACTTTTGAGTTTTGACTGGGTAAATATAAGAATCGCGATGAATGCATCCCGTCAATGTAGCTTACTGTTCTAGTGCGTTGAAAATCAAATTCTTTTAATGCCGTCAATTATTGATAACATTGACTATTTTTTACTCCGTATTAAACAATCATACTAACTTCTACGGCTAATTATTAAATACTTCAAAAACGTAATTTCACCATTTTGATGTATAAAAAGTAATTATAGGCATATTAGTTATGAAAAAGATCCTAAATACTCCGTACCTCTTACAATAAAAATCATTTCATATATGGGCGACTTTTCTAAAACACTAAAAATATGAGTTATAGTGGCTAAAAAGATCACAACAATCAATACTCCATGTAATATTGAGAGCCTCAGAGTCATGTGATAACACATATTTTTAGTTTATGGTCTTTATCAATCAACTTTTATCAAAGTAACTTTTAATTTAGGCTAAAAGGTCAATTAGATCTTTGTATTGGTCGTGTAAGTTCAAATCAGTCCCTGAATTAAAAAAAAGTTCAATTTTACGGGAAACAACCGGTCATTTTTTTAATTTTTTATTGTTCTATTTTTTAATTTTGATATAATGAATTTTGACACTTTTTAATAGTTTAAGGGTGCGAATTAGATCTTTTTACCGGCTAATTACCTGTAAAAAATGAAATTTGAACCTTTTTTTGCCGGTTCAGTGTGGGAATTGGATCTTTTTTAGTTCAGGGATTGAATTGAACTTACACGACCGGTACATGAGTCTATTTGACCCTTTAGCCTTTAATTTAACACTTTGTATTATAATAATCAAAAGAAATAAAGTTGGAGTTGTTTTTCAGGCTAGAAGACCATATTAGCTATTTTTCATATAATTTTTTCTTTACATTATTAATAAAATATATTTTAAATATAAACATATTAAGTCAATTCAGCTGTACCAGCCAGAATTTCATCTACTGCGGATTCAACTTATTGAGCTAATTCCAATGCTATCGGGCTTTAAACCTAAACACCATGATCACTAAAGTCATCATGAAATAGACACATTTTGTCTAATTACTTCAATTTTAGTCATTTGCAATTATTTCCTTTATGTGTATGGAGTGATTTTTAAGTAGAGATAATCCAGACTTGACTTAAAATTTTAGAAAAATAATTAAAATCATGCGTTACAAAAGCACTTCACACTCAAATGGGTAATGACTATGAGATCCGAATTACACAAAAAATGTGTATATTAATATATTAATATACTCCCTATCTAAATTGAATTTATTGCGTGCTGATGTTTTCTCCACAAAATGCATGAAATTTGAAAGTCAAGTGTCCTAAGACTCCAAACACAAAATTCATCGAGACTTTGGTCTCCAAATTTACACTAAACTCGGTTTTTAACCCTCTGAATTAAGGAGCTTTTCAAAGTCAAAGGCCCAGTGTTAAGCTGAAAAGGGGCCACCAAACAGCCCCTTCCTTGTATGCATCGTATACAATAAATAATGAAAGTTTGATGTTTTGAAAATACACTTAGAAACAAATCTAACATGACTAACAACAGCAACTGGTTATTATTTTTTCTTTCATCTAACATGACATATATGGTCTAATTATTCAAACTTCTTTTTCCAATTTTTCAAACTTTGACCGTACAAATAGTAACCGAAAGCTAAGTATAGGACAAATTGAGTATGTCCCTAAACAAGAGCGGCACATTTCTTTCATTCAATAAGTTGAAAAAAAAAATCTAGAGGCTCTGTCTCCGGCACTTGCAGAGGGTCTATGCATTTTTTAGCATAGTAACCTCTCATCGCAGTTACCGGGATTCGAACCCGAGGCGTAACCCTTGTGACACTCCCTTGCTACCAATTGAGCTATGTCCACCGATTCAATAAGTTGAATTCCCAACCCCTAGGTTGTAAGTCACGGTGATTCAGCTGGCTAAATGGTGGTAGATGTAGTACTACATGATTGGTAGCTAAAAAAGGTAATAAAAAATCGCTTTGTGAAATTGCGAAATAGAAGTATAGAATATGTTAAAATATGATTGGTCTTTTGAAAAATGTGACCGAAATATTAAAGATATAACGACAAAAGAAGGGGGCAAATTATATAGGCCAAGATAAGGACATTCACAACGATGATGATGAAATGTGGCAATGTGGCATCCTCACAAGTAGCTCCTAGTTTTTTAAGAAATACTCCCTTCATCCAAGTTTCATCATGTAGGCCCCCTTAGTGTTTATCTGTGCACAATATTTAAAATAGCAACCATGTTGTTTGAGTGAAATTAAGAGCGTCTTTTCTCATTCTCATATTCAATCTTATATTTTCGGTAAATATATAAATTTAATTGTGTAATAAATAAGAAATAATCATCACAATAATTAAGTAAGGTTTGAAGTTACTTTTCATAAAATTTTCTCTTAATTTTAATAATGACTCCGTATGTTTTAAAAATATTTTTTCATAATTCAGCAGAACCAACCAATTAAACCACTTCATTTAAAACTTCGTAAATTTTAGCATAATCAACTGATTTAGCTAATTTCAGTGTTATCAAGCGAGCTCTGAGTACTCTGTATGATTTTTCTTTATTTCAACAGCTGTAGCTAATTCAATCATTATTTCATCAATTGAAATCCAACCACTACATCTAAAACATAGTAAATTTCAACATAATCAACTCATTCGGCTAATTTCAGTGTTATCAAGCGAGCTTGAAATACTCTGTATGATTTTTCTAGAATTCAACATATTTAGCTAATTCTGTCATTATTACATCATTTGAAGTTGATTCAGACATTTCGGTGTTAAGCTCTAATTGTATTTCTATTGAAAAATAAAATGTCATATTTTAATCATTAACATAATTAAGCAGTCGCTAAGACGCTAACGCTTTTCATTTATGAAAATTGGAGAGGTTGTACTGTAGTCTACGTAGTATTTCATAGTTCATACGTTGAAGAGAACTGCAATCATTCAAACTCTAAAATAATGGGCACTTTCATAACAGGATCAAAACTCAACAAATTGTTTAGATCAGACCATCATTGTATTTCTCTGGGAAGTAAAAGACTCATTCATCTATTCATAAATTTAACCTCTTTTATTCCTTTTTTCAAGGATGGGATGAGCCATAGTTTATTTTAGCCCATAAAGAGACATTCCTACTTCTACACATGACCATGTCTTACTTATATCCCTATTTGCAGTAATTTCGTTGAAAATTTAGACAATGGCAAACCTGATATGGGTCATATGACCAAATTTCTCTTCAGAAACTAACATGATACATACTTACCAAACAATCAGTATCAATCTGTTTAAAACGATAAAGAAGAACTAAAATCAAATGAGAAGTAAAATCATCTAAAAAATTCAAAAAGTATAAGAAGTCATCTAAGAATCCCTTTACCGTGTTAATCTATGGGGAGGAGAAATTGGTGGCAGCCAGATTTGTGGTCAAGGGGAAGATGCCAATGGAAGTACCTTTGAAGGGGTAGAATGGTAAAGTGGCAGTAGCTGTTGATGAATGGGCTCGCTTTCTTTGCTCTTCGCAAGAAAAGATACAAAAGACCCAACTCTATGCTCATCACCAGCGCCAGTCACGGCTGGTGGATTGAATGAGAAATCTTGAAAAGAACAGCCATTTTCCATCATTAGTCTGCGAATCAGCTTTTCCTCTGCATCTCTCAAGAACTTTAGCTTGGGAGGAGGAGATGATCTCAGCCTATGGATTTCTGCATCTGTTGATGATTCAAAGAGTGGGTTGTAAGAATCTAAATGCAGCAGAGATTTTGTTGGGGGCGAAGACATGGGGGTAAAAAGGTCACTCAAACTCTTGCTTCTTGATCTCCCATCCTGAGATTCCAAATCCTCATTAGTTTCTTCATTAATGGTGAAAAGGAATCTTGGTGGACCACAGAGGTTGTGCAGCCTCATCAGCTCTTCTTCCACACTTTCATCTTCTATCCCTTTCAGCAGTGAATCCTCCTTCTCATTCCCCATCTCCAAGTCCTTGTTTGGATGAGTGGTGTTTGGGTTCACCTTTTGATCTCCCTCTGTTCTGCGAATTTTACAGCAAAAAAGGAAAGAAACCCCACTGGCGATTTTGGTTTCTAGATTGGTCACGCCGCGTTTGGTTCTCCTCCTCCTCACATAAAACAGATAATAAATCTCTACAACAATTCCTATCAGAATAACGCAAACCAAACAGCTCAAACCGATTACAAGACCCCTAAAAGATGCCATCTTTGGCTGCTTGTGAGATCTTGCATTCAATTCAACATATTGCGATTTCACCAAGACTGTACAAAAGTGAAATCGTCTTGAAAACTTGGTTGAACTGTGTGGAGAAAAACAAAGAAACCCTGAAATTTTCGATTCGGAGCAGAAACCCAAAGGATGGAGGCAATTATCAGAACATAGGAATTATCATTACCACCTTGAACGCCGGAGACTACGGACTATGATATGTATTGCCTTTTAGAAAGAAAAAAACCCACCAACAAAGGAAAGGACAGGGGGCAATCAAATAAACTGCCACTCCCCCACTTTCCTTAATGCGGTACTAGTTTAATTAGTTTCTTAATGTACTATTCCCTTCCGAACATATCCTAAGAATGAAGTTCTCGCAAACGTGTTTACTAACACAAATATTTTTCCGTTTTTTAGAAAATTAGAAAATTGGAAAACAGAAAACCTAAAACGTGTTTATCAAAAATAATTCTGAAAAATTAAAGAAAGGAAAACAAAGAATTGCGTTTACTAAATCATTTTCCAAAATAAAAAAATGAGATATGTTTATGTTTTCCTTAAAAGATTGGAGAAGTGACTTTTACTAATTTTCCAAATTTGGAAAACGCGGATGCTGCAATGCTGTTGCAATGAATTTGCATACTTACACCTAGTGTTGGATCCGGTCCTGCTCCGGTGTTTGTTAGATCTGATCCGGTCAACGACTCGATGGTCCCTATTTGGTCCGGCCAACAAACCGGTGGTCCAGTTCAGTCATTGACCCGGTGGTTCATGTTTGGTCCGGTCAATGGCCGAGCAAACTCGGTTCAATCCGATCAATGACCCGACGCTCCCGGTCCGGTCGACGAACTGACGGTCCTTGCCTGGTCCGATCCACGACCTGACTGTCCCTATTCAGTCCGGTCCACGACCTGGAGGTCCATGTCTGTTCCGGTCCACGACCCGAAGGTCCCTGTCATCTCCGATCCAAAATCAGACGGTACTTGTTCGGTCTGATCGACTGCCAGGCAATCCTAGTCGGATTCGGTCTAGTCAATGACTCGGTGCTCCCCCCTGTTCCGGTCAATGATCCGGCAAGCCTCATCCAATCTGGAAAATGACCCGACGGTCTGTGTTTGGTCCGATCAACAATCGGGCGGTCTTGGGCCAATCTCATAAACGACCCTGTCAGGGTCGGTCAATGACCCGACAATTCAGTCTCGGTTTTTCGAAATAAGTTTTTAAAGTGAAGAGTTTTAAAAGAGTCATTGAGTTATCAACCAATAGGGAAATGGAAAAGAGTTCATCAATCTAACTATTGAGATCGACCAGGACCAGCCGATTTCGATCCCGACTTTCCTATATATGGGACCCAGTACCATACTTGGGTTGTAGTAGGTTCAGTTTTGGACTGATATCGTACTTTCGGTCTTTTGATCAGTTAGAGAACCGAGTGAAATTATTGTATGAAAATGTATTCATGTTTGAAAATGGAAAACTAAAAAGTGAAAAGAAAAAATTGGAGATAGAAAAACTGAAAAAATGAAAACAGAAAATTGGGGAACGAAAAACATAAATAGAAAACTGAAAAATATCTCTGTTAGCAAAGAGGCCCTCATATTTTTACTTTAGAAATAGGGACATCCTTGTGTATACAAATCATGTGTACACAAATAGTACACATCCAATTGGGAGGTTTTGGCATCAAATCCTGTGCCTTTTCAAATGAATTGTTTTGTGTACAAAGACAATTAGGGGATTTTGAGTACACTTTGTAACACTAAGAAATTTTCTTTGAAATAATGATAAATATATACTTCGTACGTCGCACTATAATTATCTCGTTTTTCCTTTTCCGTATGTCGCACTAATTTTGTCTCATATTATATTTAGCAATATATGTGTGGTTCTAATTCATTTTTACTTTATTCCCACTTTATTAATCTATTATTCCCACTTTAGTAATTCATTTTTATCATATGCCCCGGGTCTCTAATGTTTTCAGCTTTCACATATGACATAATGTACATTTTTTATTGTGGTACTAGTTCAAGTATAGTATTTTGACATTATAAGTTTTTATATCCATTTTTGGCATTGTGAGACTTAAAAAACGATAGATTTGGTTTACTTCTCTCTACTGGCGACGGTGAAACCCTAGCAAGGGCTACGTGCATGGCTGCGGCAGCCGCATGGGCTTCTCCGGCTACTGGTTCGGGGGCAGCGAGGAGATCATTTGCGGAGGTCTTGGCTGCTAACAAAGAGATTTCACTCAAAATACCCTTCCGTCATCGTGGCATGCCAGTGGTTAAATTCACTGAGGAAGAAGTTTCAGAATTGGCAGCGCAACACCAATGTGCGTTGGTGGGATCTTTCATCAGAGGTCGCCCATCCATGATGGTTCTTCCACAGGAGTTTGAAAAAATAGGGGTTTCCCGTCAATTATCGTTGGGGCTGCTTGATCAACGGCATACCTTGATCAAATTCGGAACTGAAGAAGATTTTCAACGTTGTTGGTTGAGGCAGACATGGAGTATTAGGGGTTTCAAGATGCGCATCACACGATGAACTCCAGATTTCAAGCTAGATGTGGAATCTTCCATTGTTCCGGTCTGGATCACGTTTTGATGGATTACCATTGCATTTGCAAGACAAGAGGGCACTTTTTTCTATAGCAGGTATGATTGGAAAGTCTCTTAAAGTAGATGCGGCTACTGCAAACTTATCAAGGCCGTCTACTGCTAAAGTGTGTGTGGAATTAGATTTACTTCAAGAGATCCCAAGTAGAGTGTTAATAATGAATGGAAAGAAGGAGTTGATCCAACCCGTTACGTATGAAGATTTGCCTAAATATTGTGTAAAGTGTAACCGGTTGGGTCATAGCAAGGAGGAGTGTGGTATTCCTAAGGTGAGGCCAGTTAAGGAGATTAATGATAACATGAACAAAGGACAGTTAGTCATTAAAGATATGGGAATGCCTAATACTAAACAGCCAACCAGGTGGATTCAAGTTACTAAAAAGAACAAAGGGAAAGAAGTTTTGGAGCCTCCCATTGAATCAATAGTGGTGGCAGTTGGTGAACAAACAGAATCTTCTAAAAAGAATGATACGAGTATTGATCTAGAAGAAGTGGTACCTCAAGCTGACGCCGATGGTCCAAATGATGCTGATGGTCCTAAAGAGGTTGCTCATGGGGTGGTAGATCATGGAGGGAAGGCACAAGAATTGGTAGTGGTGGAAAACATAGTTCTGGAAGAAGCAAGCCAAATCAAAGACAGGGATTAAATGGGGGAAGGCATCAATCGAGGAAGTTAATGATTGCCCGGAAGGGAGTTCAATCGAGGTTCAGGTTCAGGAAGATTTTCATAAGGGGGCTACGGATGTCACTAAGCTTATCTCTTTTGAGGAGGGAAGTAAGGATATGGAAGATGGAGGGGATATGGTGGTAGAAGATGGCATTGTTTCTGATGGTGAGGATGCTTTGGTCGACAATATAGCCAAAGATTCTTGGAAGCAGGTTTGTAGAGAACTGCAAAGAAAGGTAGCATTGATAGAACTTGAATAGGCTGAAGCATTGGGTGCTATACCTAGAAGAAAAGTCAAAGAGATTCCACCTCGAGCGGTCACGACAAGGTTGGCGGCTAAGAGGAATTCAAAGGACCTTCCCTTTGATGTTTCCTCATGAAGCTACTTACTTGGAATGTGCGCGGCTATTCTATTGATTTTATTACCATTATTGAGCCTATGGTTCATCAAAATAAGGGGGATTACTTTTTGCATAAATTGAGATTTTCAAAGTTGTTTATGGCTGCTTTTAACATTCCTTTGATGTGCTTTCGATCCAAGAGATGGATCAATTTTTGGTGGTTAAGGTTACCTTCTTGCCTAGGAATTTTAATTTCGTTTTCTCACCTGTCAATGGATTGCACACTAGAGGCGACAGGGCTCGGTTGTGGGATGGTATGGTTAATTTTGTGCAATAGGATGATTCAGACTGGGTTGTGGGGGTGATTTTAACACGGTGGCAACTTTGGCTGAATATAAGGGACCTGCTAGCCCGGTGCTTAACGAGATGTTGAATTGTAGTCAATGCATTGACAATTGTGATCTCATTCAACCTTCTACAATCGGATCGTCTTATACGTGGACAGGGATGAGGTCCAATGGTCGTATCTGAGAAAAACTAGATAGATATTTGATCAATCATGGCTTTAATTCCAAATTTGGTGTTGTTACCACACAACACCTGAGTATCTCTAGCTGAGATCATTGTCCTATATTACTTATTTGTGAAGAAGAAAGGAGATCTGGACCAAAGAAATTTCGCTTTCAAAATATGTGACCAGCACATTTGGACTTTTTGCCTTATGTGCGAAGCAAGTGGGAGTCGTATCTGACTACTGGTGGAATGAGGGGTTTTGTTTCTAAGCTCAAAGCCTTGAAGGAGGACTTGAAAAAATGGAATAAAGAGGTGTTTGGAGACATTTTTGCGGCTACTAGTAAACTGGAGGTGGAAGCATTAGCCGTTGAAAAAGAATTTGAGGAAAATCCTAATGAAGATACCACAACTACGTGTTCTAAAAAGCAGTCTGATTTACTTGTGCGTGTTAAACAACAGGAGGCCTTCTGGGGACAAAAGGTTAATGTAAAATGGATTCGGGATGGTGATGCAAATACCTGTTTTTCCATGAAAAAGCGAAAGCAAAAGTAAGAAGACAATAGGTTGTAGCCATCAAAGGATCAAATGGGGAGTGAGTTTATGATAGGCAAGATATTGCGGCTGAGGCTATTTCCTTTTTTTACTAAACTCAGCGAGGAAGAACCTACGAGTCATCAGGATAGAGTGCTTAAACATATTCCTTGCTTGCTTGATGAAAGTGATAATGAGTTGATGAGTGTTTTACCTGGAGAAGTGGAGATTAAAAAGGCTATATGGACATTAAATAAAGAGTCTGCGCCTGGTCCAGATGGTTTTGGAGGGGAGTTTTAAAGAAGTTGCTGGGACATTATTAAAAAGGATGTGGTGCTTGCTCTCCAAGAGTTTTTGTTAGGGTTGCCTATTCCCAAAAGTGTGGGAAGTGTCAATATGGTTCTCATACCAAAAAAAAAAGATTCCTACTTCTTTTGGGGATTTTAGACCTATTTGTCTATCCACCTTTATTACTGATGGATAGTGTACCCGGGGGTAGCTTATCCGAGGGGTTATTGCGGAGAATAACTAGAGAGAAGTCAGAGCAAGTAAGTAAGATAGAGAGTGTATATCAAATATGTATTCAGCGTATATTTTGCTTCTGGGTTACAAATGGGGAAATGGGGTGCTATTTATAGTAGTAATAAATGCCAGATA